AATCTGAGAGGGGTGTGTAATTGAATCCCCTCGCTGGGCTGTGAGGTGGGGCATAGTGAGGGCCCTGTCTGCTGGGACCCTGTTCACTTATGTTAGCAGGATGGGCAGACCTTCCTGGCTTAAGGGGCAGAGGTGGCTATGAGCACTGCTGGGATGGGCAGATGGTGACTGGGAAAAGAGGCTGGGCTTCCAAGGGTTGCAGACCTGCCCTGACTCTCTTAAGTCCTGAGACCGTGGCCTTCTCTGAGAGCTGAGGAGGACACAGGACATGGGTGGGGATGAAGTGGCAGGTGTTAAGAAGTGCAATGAACCAGCACACGGGCTTGGTGTCCAGCTCAAGCTGCCATTTCTGGCCTCGCTGTCCTCTTCAGTTGCCCTGGGTGGACAGTTAGGAGGCTCCCCTTGAGCACTGAGCTTTGCCCTGTCTTGGCCCCTCCATGCCCAGCCCCTTTGGGTCAGCAGAGCAGAAGATCTCCAAGTCTGCTCCTTTTAGGGAAAAAGAGACCAAAAAGGGGCCGTCCACTTAGTAATTAAAAACAGCCCTGTGCTGGTGGGCGGGGCCTGGGCTGCTTCCCTCCCTGTAGCAGTTGAGAGAGACCCGAAACCCCTTCCAGCCCCAGGAGCTTGGGGAGCAGTGCACAAAGGACTAGACTGGGCTCATGGAAAGAGCCAAACAACACCCCAACTTTGCGACAGGATTGGGCCTGTCCAACGGAGGACAAGACTTGGTCATGTTGCTTAAACCTGGAGAACTGCTTCAGCAGATGAGACTGGGGTACAGGGGGAGAGGGTAGACCAGCAAGTGAGAAGGGGGTGGCAGGCACAGATCAGAGGACAGCAGAGCACACAACTCTGGGCTGTGCCACCCACGAGCTGGCCCCAGCTGCTCAGTGTGCCAGGCCTGCCTGGCTGCTCAAGATTCTATTGCACACGTGAGTGGCTGTCCACTGGATGCCTGTCTCCATGGAGACCCAGCTCTCCCATCTCCATTTCCTGCCCATTTGCTTTGGCTCCCCCTGGGAGTGATTCAGCTGTGCAGAAAAAAAGCCTCAGCCTCCCTGTCCAGCCTTCCTGCTGCCTTCCAGCCCCCAGGACCCTGCCCCTACCCTCTGTCCCTGGTAAGACCCCAACCCATGGCTTGCCACCCTCCCTCTCTCTCCCTGTGGGCCAGTGACTCTCCTGCCAGAGCCTTGGGCTCAGCCCTTCCCATTCACGTGCTGCTGAATCATTTGAAAAAAATGCCTCCCGCTCCTGGGAGGGTTTGCTGAGAACAGTGTGGCTTTGTGGAGGGAACTGTGCTCTGCAGTTTCTCCGCCAAGAGCCCTCGCAGGAGCCAAGCTCAGCCCTGCAAAGCCCAGCTTGGAGTCCAGTGGGCGTGGGTAGGAGGCAGAGTAAGCACAGAGGGCACTCATGGAACCCCCACTGGCCCTCTGCAACCCCTGCTGCCCACGGACTGTGGGGTGGGGGTGGAGGACAGCACAGAAGCACAGTTGGTTCATGAGGATCCCTGCCTCAACTGCTGTTGAGGGCTGTGTGACCCTAGGCAGTCCCCATTCCTCATTACTGACTCATTTCCAGAAGTGAACCACAGGGCTGGACCCTTGGGTCCTTGCTTCAGGCCTGGTCAATGGTGACAGCTGGCCAGCCATGGCCCATTGTGGGACCCTAAGGCATGCAGCCCGTGGGCTGAGCTCGACTTGCTGCAAGTCTAGGGCACCAGGACTGAGGACGTGAAGGCTGCAACTCCAGGGTGCACGATGCTCCCAGGCTCTAAGGAGGGCAGAACCAGGCTGGGGACACTGTGGTCATGTTCCTGCACCCCATCCGTGCAGCCCACTGTCTCTAGCTGGACTGTTCCAAGGGCTGCCCTGGAGACCAAATCACCTTCCATTCTCCAGTGTGAGCTGCAGACAAACACTGTCCACCTCCTTTCAGAGGCCTTGTCCTCATGTCATTGCCATTTTCCTGCTCATTGGAGGAACTCCTGCAGGCCAGAGAGGGCCCCAGTCAGTTTTGTAGATGCTACTTCCTCATCCTGGTGTTTATCTGCTAGCATGGGCCTACTGGTCACAAGCAGGGCCACATGGGGAAGGACAGCAGGCCACACCTGAGTCACATTCAAAAGCAGTGGATCTCAGTTGCTATGATTTGGGGCTAATGAGCCATGGAGCGGCACCCAAGGAAATGACCAATGACCAGGGTTCTAATAAACACTGAGCTGGGAATGGGGACTCTGTCCCCTAAATGTGAGGGCAGATGCAAAGAACCACCAGCACACTCCGGAACACAAAGTGCTCCAGGGATACCCACAGGGTGGGCCCCCGAAAGTACTTTAGGAGGAGGAAGACACATCCCCCATGTCTGCAGCTTCCTCATCCCTGGGCAGCGCTCTGCACAGAGCTCCAAGAGGATCTGGACCCCTCGGGTGGCACTGCCTCCCATTTCCTAGCCCTACGGAGGCTGGAGAGGGAAGGCAGCTTGACCCAAGCTAGACTCCCAAGCCCGGCAGCCTAGCCCCCGTGGGTCCTGTTACTCCTGCGCAGTCAGGCCAATGACAATGGTGGTATGGGAGAGACAGCTGGAACCTGGGCCCAAGGGTAAGGTGCAGAGTCACAGCTCAGGAGGAAACACCGACATACTGACATGTCGTCCAAGTCTCCGCCAAGCCGCTGTCAGGCGACAGAGCCTAGGTTCTCACCATCCCACTGCACGGCCTCCTCGTGAAGGCTGCTGAGTGTGTGAAACGCAAGGCCAGGGAGGCCCCTGCCTGTCCCAGAGCCCTGTGCACCACTCTCCAGCTGTTTCAAGATGACAGGGAGGGCCTGCTGAGACACTCGGGGCCCTGGGGGTGGGACGGAAGTTGCCCATGACATCTCCATGGGGAATCTCTGGGCAGCCATCTTGCTTTTGTGGGTGGAGTCCTGAGGGCTGATTTAGTGCCCACTCCATCCTTCTTGGCCTTCTCAGAGACAGGCAGAGAAGGCCAAGGTGTCGCAACCTGCTGCCAGGGGACAGTGTGGGTGTGACTGTCGGGGCAAAGATGAGTCAGCCCTCACCAGGTCTTGCTGCCCATCTATCTCCACACCTACCTTTAGCTCCAGCGGGACCAAGAAGGGGCAGTGCCTCACTCAGAAGACATGAGCCACAAACACTACCTTTGCAAATGGAACAAAAATAACCTTCACCCACAAGGCTCATCCTCTTCTGAGGCTGTGGTTTCAGGCTGTCATGAGGACCTCGGTTCCACGCGGCCTGCTCCCTCACAGCCACTGCACCCCCTGCCTTCTCATGAGCTATTGTCAGAGGGGCTCCTTCGGGCTGCTCGGTGCTGTGCTCAGGGTCCACATCAGCATCTCACTGTAGCTCTGTGGCTCCCCAGGTGTCAGTATGAGCCTTATTACCTGTCACTTCTGTGGACCATGAGCCTTGTGGTTTTCCTTGACATGGTGTCTAGCACTCAGGATTTATAAATGACACATTTTACAAGAGGAGGTCACCTCTTGCAGGCAAGGAGGGCAGAGATGGGAGAAAAGGGGTCACAGATGGGGTTGTTCCCGCACCCACATCCTGCCTGTGGTCTTCAAAATCCCCAGAAGCACTTGAAACAAAAATCGGTGCCCAAAGTTGGGATTAAATCACAAATGCATTTCTCAGCACCCAGACTCTTGATCCAAATGCACTGGGGACTTGGTTCTCTTTTCAGAAACCAAGGCATTAAACAAAAGCAGCCATGGTCTTAAAAAGGAAGGTGGGAGAGACACCTCTGCTATCACAGCCAGAGAAAATGAGAAAGCGGGCCTTTGCACAAGGGGACAGGTGCCAGGAACTGTGCGGAGGCCGGAAAAGAAAACCTTCCAAAAGGCCACACGAAATACATTATCTTCCTTACAAAATTCAAAGCAGGTAAACCCAACATTGGTGTGTGGCATGTGGCTGTGTGGTAACGGACAGAGGTAACCCATGCTCCCAGCTTTGTGTCTGAGGAGACAGGGGTTAAAAAAGGAAAAGCACAGACACTCAGGCGACTGAATACATAGTTTTCAGGAGACATTCTGGACCTCCGGTTCAGGTGGTGGGCTCATGGCTGCTTACCCTATCATCTACAAAATGTACAGAGTAAGGCTGATCTGAGTCAAGAAAGCTGAGGTCCTTGGAACACATGAAGGGAGAGGAGAGCAGGGATTGGGGAACCAAGGGGTCCAGGCTCAACAACTACCCTAGCACAGGGGTCCAAAAGCTATGCCCAACAGCCTTCTTCTCCAGAACCTGTTTCTGTATATCGAGGCTTCTACACACTCGGCCACACCCCTAGTTTCTGTGTCCTCCATGGCAGTTTCCTGCTGAGAGAGTAAGAGCTGAGCATCGGTCAGAGGCCAGCTGACAAAGCTAACACATACATTCTTTGCAGAAAAAAAATGTGTGACCCCTGGCCCCGTCACTAAGTCTGTACCTGGCAGATACTTCCCCCAACCACACAAAAAAACAAAATCAAAAACCAAAAACCCACCCAGTATGAGGTCTCTACAGCTTCCCTGGCTGCTGGGTCAGAGGCATCAACTGACTGAATTGACACCTAGGTGCCCTGTGCTGTCTGTCTAGAGGTGGCCAGAGTCACCCTTCCTCTCTCCCCACCCCCTTAAGGTTATAAGAACGTGTTAAGATGCGTGCTATTAAATTGTTGGCTTTGTCACTTGCAAGGCTAAGAAAGATTTCAGTGCAATTTCTCTGCCAATGACTCAGCCAGTGCTAAGCAATAAATGAGGAATCTTTGAGACTGCCCATCTGACCTCAGCTATCCCTGATATTGTTTATTTGGAAACATCTGAAAAGCTGACTTTACCTGGAGCTTCCAAGTGGGCCTATGGCACATGAAAGGAGACCCTGCTCTGGGAGAGGTGCCCATGGTACTCTGGCTAGACCTGCTCCCTGAACCCCACATGGGACCCTGTTTTTGTGTGACACACACAGGCCTGAGGGCTTGGGAGGACAGGACGCTTGCACAGGTTTTGTCAGAGTTGTGTTTATTGTGGGCAGGGCTCTTGCCTTTACCATGTTTTCTGCAGCTCCTGCAAATGCTTCCTGGCTTTTTCTAGAAACTGCTCGTGTAGCTTGGTTTGCTCTGAGATCCGCCGTTGGAAGTCACGGACCATCTGATCGTGTTTCACCTCATCGATGTCGCTGCTGCTCAGAGGGGAGTGTGTTCTGGGGACAGGGTCTGGATTCCTGGTGGGGACCCATGTGGGGTAGGACCTCAGAAGGGCCAGGCGGGTCCTCCTCCGCTCCCGCCGCTCCTCCTCTAGCTCAGCCTTGTAGTGGATTTCCAAGCTCATGTCTGGGTGCTCCGTCTGCTCCAGCAGCCCCTTCTGCCTTCTCCCCTCCACCCTTGCTTGCTGCTCCAGCCTTGAACCCCTCCAGCCCACCAGGTCCAGCTGTTCCTGCAGGTAAGGTAGAGGTGAGCCCTCTGCCACAGTGGCTGGTCTAAGTGGCTCATGGCTGGGTTTGGGGCTTTGCAGGACCGAGTCCTCTCCGCTAACAGATACTCTGTCCTCGGGAAGCAATGTCTGACCTTCATTCTTGGACATGGGCGTGGCCAAAGGATGGTCTCTGGCACCCTCAGCCTGGCTTGGTAACTGCAGCAAACTGCACTGGGATGCTGTCCGGGAGGTCTCCACTTCCGTGGTGGGTACAGTTTCTGCTTGCCCTGTCCTCTCCTCCCCAGGGATGTCACTACCTGGTCCCTGCCTCTCTGAGACCTGCTCTCCAGTGGGGCTCTGATCTGCCAAGGGCCTCGATTCAAGGTGCCGAGTCAGGTGTTCCTTCAGCTTTCTGCTCATGTTAAACAACTCCTCCACGGCAGACTCGAGCTCTTTCTGCCAGTGGCCCTTGTCACCACACTGGTGTGGAGATGCCAAGGGCGTGGCACCCTGTTTGTGGGTGGAGCTGACCAGCCACAGCTGTCCTAGGTCCTCCAGTTTGCGCTCTGTGTTGTTTCTCAGGCCTTGAGCAAAGTGGCCCCTCTTTCCCAGCTGCCACATACCCTCATGGGCTCGGGCTTCTTTTTCCTCCAGCAACTTGGCTTCCCCTGCAGAGGCCAAGACTGGATTCAGCTTTTCAAGGTCAGTTCTCCTGCCCATTCGACTCTCCACAAGCTGGCGGCCACCACTGGTCTGGCTTGAAGGAGCCCACTTCCCTTTAGTCTTCTCAGTGGGACCTGGACACTGCACTTGGGGAGCTGCTCGTCTCTGTAAGCCTGTCACTTTCTTCAGGGATGTACTGTTGTTCCAGGCTCGTCGTCTGGGTGGCCCGTCCCTACGACTCCTCTCTTCTCTAAGGGGTTCTCTGTGCTTCCGCCTGCCCCCGGGGGATCTTGCTGCTCCTCGCAGGACACGCTCCTCAGAGTAGGGTTCATTTTCCACTAACCATCTTGTAGCCCCACCCAGCAGATGGGTTAGATACAGCCACTGCAGGCCTCTGATTTGCTGGGGTCGGGCCTCCCGCTGCTCTGCCCGCAGCTCTTCGGGCAGGCGCTGCAGCTGGCGGCCCCGCTGCGGCTTGTGAGATCTTCTCTGTGGAACGATGTCTCCTCTGAGCCCAGCCTGCAGCAGCAAGGACTTCTGCCCCACAGCCAAGGCTCTGTCACCAGGTGCGAGGCTGGGCGGTGCAGCTTGCCCTGTTTCTCGCTGCATTTCTTCTGGAGACAGCTTCTGAGAGAAAGGAGCTCAGTCCAGAGTGCAGGATTTGTGGGGCGCAGGGCCTGGGGAGCCACAGGTGTCACCACCATTCCACGGCAAACCTAAAAGGACAGGAGGACATACACTGCCTCCCAGAGTGTCCCACAGAGTGCAAGCAAGGCTCTGAGGACAAGTGCACGTGCAATTCTCAGGGCAGGGACACACACTGTCCCCAGGGCCCATTCCCTGTCTCCACATGGCATCTTTAATGAGAGCCTGGGGGGCAGCTGTGTTCAATGAGGCGTGGGCTCGCTTCTTGGGGCACATGCAGCAGTGTGTGTGTGTGTGTGTGTGTGTGTGTGTGTGTGTGTGTGTGTGGTGGGGGTTTATCCTAGTGACTAGGAACAAGGATCTGCTACTAGCTGTGGCTGGGCAGAGGCCAGGCCTGCTGCCAAAGACCCTACAATGCCCCAGTCAGTTCTGCAACAAAGAATGATCTGGGCCAAAATGTCAGCAGTACTGAGGCTGAGAACCCCACCCCAGGAGGCAGGTTAGGATAGAGACTGAGACACCCACCCCCACTCTTGCCCTGTGAGCAGGTTAGGATACAGTGGAGCAGCTGCAAACACACCAGGGGAGGGCAACGTACAGGCAGAAAAGGAAGTCCCCTGGAGCCAGAGAGCAGCTTACAAACAGAAAGAGGAAGGGGCAGAGGAGGGAGGAGCCTGCCAAGCAGGGTGTGCATCAACTGTGTGAGCAGGGGTGTGTGTGCAAGGGTGTGGGTGTGGGTGCCTGACACTTGAACCTAACACACAGCAAACGGGGAAGACAGATGGGTGTGACAGCTCATTCCATGGTTCCCTTTACTGGTGTGACTGTTGGTGGACTCCTGCTGTCTCTGGCATCGGGAAGGGTGAGGGGTACGAATCATGCCTGTTGTCACCCAGGGCTGACGTCAGAACCAGCCAGGTCTGTGAACTACAGCAGCCGCTTCCTAGAGGCTGGGGTCCCTGTGGAGCCCTGAGTTGGCCCACCCTTCTTTAAAGTTTTTATTTTTATTAGCATGTGTTTGCCTTCCACAGTGATTATCTTGATCACGGCGCATCTGTGCACGTACGAACCCCATCTTAATCATTTGGACACTGCTCTCCTCTTTAGTCCTGAGGACCCAAGCTAAACAATTTGAGCCAAAAGGTGTCCCAGCAGCCAGAAAACAGCAATGCACTTGTCCCGCTGCTGACAGAGAACTGTGTGGCTTCTCCTCTGAGCACCGCTCACCTCTCAACTCAGCTTTTACAGTAACCACGGGAGGTAAGGTGTTAGTATCACCCGGATTCGCAGATGGAGAAACCCACCAGGCAGAGAAAGATGAAGCCACCAGAACCAGATTATATAGCTTGTAAGAGGAAGACAGGCCCTCTCTGCTTGGATAGACCACAGTGCCTTTTGCCGGCCACCAGCTTGGACCTCCGTCTTCTTGCGGGAGGTCTGGCACCTCTTGGTCAGGCGTAGCATGCATTGAGAATCGTACACTTAGAACAGCAGCTAAGGGTATATTCTGCCAGTCTGCCCACCACTGCATGCAGCAAGATGACAGGGTGAAAGAAAGCTGGGACATTCAGCCCTGTGACTGAGATTTCTGACCAAGGTGACACAGCAATTCAGCTGGGAAAGAATAGTCTTTTGTTCTTTGTCTTTTCAACAATTGGTCCTGTGACAGCTGACTGTCTACATGCAAAAAAATAAAATAAAATAAAAAATAAGGATTTTTGGACTCTTTCCTTACATCATATATGAACACTAACTCACTATAGATCTTAGGCCTTCGTATAAGACCTGAAACTGCATGCTTAGAAGGAAGCATGGGTGTTTATTCACCACCTTGACTTACGCAAAGAGTTCTGGAATCTAACACTGAAAGCTCAAGCAATTCAAGAAGAAATGAGTGAAATGGACACCAGCAAAATTCAAACCTTCCTGCTTTGAAAGGTATCGGTGGTAAAGTGAAGACAAAGGCCCAGACTGAGGAGATATTTTCAGACCTTACATCCAACAAGGGACTCCAATCCAGAATATTTGAACAGCTCCTGCAACTTAATAAGAAGACGAAGAATCTAAACTTGAAATGGGCAAGAAGTTTAAATGGACATTTCACCGAAGGAGACAGATGCGCAGTGAGTGGAGAGAGGAGGCCAACCCCACGCTCATGGGAACATTGCAGACTGAGGCTCCAGTGAGACACCACTTCACACCCGCCAGTCCACCCACTGGGACGGCTGGAAGTTAAAAGGCAGAGAGTAGCGAGGAGGTGGAAAAATTGGAACCATCTCACAGTGTTGGCGGGAATGGGAGATGGTGCAGCCGGCTTTGGAAAACAGTCTGGCAGTTTGTTTCTTTAAAAAGTAAACAAGCTGGGCATGGTGGTGCACGCCTGTCACACCAGCACTCTGAGAGGCCAGGGCAGCAGGACTGCAGGTTTCAGTCCAGCCTGGGCAATGTGGTGATTTAGCAAGACCTTGTCTCAAAAAAAAAAAAATAAAATAAAATAAAAAAAATAAAAAAGGGCTGGGGCTCAAGGCAAAGGCCCTAAGTTCAATTTCCAGTATCACCACCACCATCAAAGAAAGAAAGAAAGAAAGACTTAGCGTAAGACTACGCAATGCTCCTCAGTTCCACTCTCTAGTATGCCCTCAGCCGCCACCTGGGTTCAGGCAGTGGTGGTCCCTAGCACTCTGCTCGGTGTGTCCCTGAGACCAGATGTCAAGGTCCCTCTCAGACTCATGGTGGTGCTGATGAGGAAGCTACTAAAGCCTGTGGAGCCTGATGTGACTGGGACACACACTCCGTGGAGATAGCCCCTGCCAGGGACATGTGTCTGAGTCTCCTTAGGACACTGGGCAAGGAAGAGTGTAGTGCGTCCAGATGGGGTCCCCACTCAGACACACCTGCACTCTGTGCTGGGCAGAACATTCTGGACTGAGTGAGTTCTTAGAGGCCCTACACCCACCTTACCTCTCCTCGTATCCACATTATGTGAGTGACCTCAATGTGGTCTGAACAAGAGTAGACGGGGAGCTAGGGGACGAATGTGGAAAAGATTGGGACAAAGACCTGGCTGTGAGGATGGGGCACTCGTAACTGTGCAGCCCTGGCTGACAGCACACCTGTGGGGTCTCCCCACCCCACACTACACACACATCTTGCACTGTTGTGAGATCTCACCACAAGCGGGGAGCTCTAGCCCTTCTGGCAGGGTGAGGCTGAGGCTCAGAGAGGTGAAGTGACCTGCCCATGGCCAAAGAACTCAGGAGCACTGCAGCAGGGTCTCAAACCCAGCAGATGGACCATTGGCCCCAGGCTGCCAGCCCAGGAGTGAGCAAGGTCACAGTGGGTGCCACTTCCAGGGTGTGAGCAGACTCAGGCTCAGCGGCACTCACCCTTGCCTGACCTCCTGCCACCTGGATCTCTGAGAGACAGTGGCCCGCAGTGGCTCTAAAGCCAGGAATGGGCCTGTGTGCTTCCTCTGCTTCGCCACCACAGGGCCCTTGTGTCACATCACTCGTCAGGTGGCCACCCACCTTCTTCAGCTCATGTGATTTATCCCTCCAGAACATTCCAAGGCAGTCCAGCACAGTGCCTGAATCTCAGTAAGTCAGGTTCAGACTCAGCAAGTCTATGGGGGCCCAGAAGTCTGCGTGTCGGAGATGCTCCCAGGACATCAATGTGGCTCCACTGAGGCGTGTCTCACTCCATTCTCCTCCCATCATGCCTCACCGGAGCCCTCCAGGGTTTCCCCATCAGGCTCTCTGTCACCCCACCCTCAAGCTGTACCCTCTCCCCACACCAGGGCTACAGCCTCTACCTACAGCACTTTGCTCTTACGCTCACCTGCAAGTGCATCCATTGCACCTGCGACCCACACCTGCGCCCAGTGTGGGCTCCCACGCCCCGCTGAGAATGAGCCTCAGTACAGTACCTGCTGACTCTCCAGCTCCCCCAGGTGTCTCAGAGTCAGGTCTCTGGCTGCAGGCTCCGGGGCATTTGGGCAGCTACCGCTTCACTCCCCTTCCTGTCCCACACTCCCTGGCTCGAGGGCACCTTGCCTCACAGTGCCAGCACCCTCTCCCTTTCTGGACTTCCTCTGAAAGCCAGCCACCTCATAGCACTTCTTTGAAACATATAAAAACCATTCTAGAAGGGCTCCCATTCGCCAGACAGTGTCACATGCCTATAATCCCAGCACTTTGGGATGCTGAGGCAGGAGGATCACAAGTCTGAGCCCACCCTGGGAAACTTAGTGAGACTCTGTCTCAAAATAAGACTGGAGAGGTGGCCCAAAGTATAGGGCCTAGGTTCAATCCCCAGCACCTCCCCCCACACCAACAACAAAGAAACGTCCACTAGTTATTGTAGACTAGGAAGGGGCCACTTCCATACAGTTAAAGTTTAGCCTCTTTTCAATTTTTTTGGCACTCAAAATTGAATTCATGACCTCATGCTTGCCAGGCAGGCACTGTGTGGCTGAGCTGTAGCCCCAGCCCTAAAGTTTAGTCCCGTGTAAAGTTAGCTAGTTCTCCATCCTTTGAGGATATGTAGACCACATATTATTTGACCTCAAAAACAAAACAAAACTCTTATAGTTGTCTTTAACACAGGGAATCCTTCAAGGGCTTTTAAGATGCGTACAACAGAGTTCTCCTAAACTAAGTGACCCTGGGAGACAATATGGTTTTGCAAGTCCACTTTTTATGGCTTCCCACAGTCCTTTCTCACTCACTGCTTCTCCTCTGCCTGGACCCCAGCCTGCCATGGATGGTACCCATGTGAGCAAATGTGAAAGGCAGTAGCAGAGTGCACACTTGTGTGGCACTGAGTCTTGGAACCTGAGCTTCTAAATGCAAAGATGCAGACCTCACAGAGCACTGATGACCCATGTGGGGGACACCAAAAACCAGCCACAAGACCCCAGCTTGGAAGACGTCACCACTCATACACCTCGCCCGGTCTCCAAGGTAAAACACAACACGACCCCATCTGAAGCTCACCAGATTCAATGCACGAGTGCTGTGCGGGAGAACCCAGGAAGCAAAAGACAGGAGGGTTTCACCTGGCTATGCGCCACGCTGGTGGAGACTCGTGGTCACCGCACAGCCAATGAGATCTTTACCTGAGTTCAGAGAAAGGCTGCCGAGGACAAGCAAGGTGTCAGCCTCAGCAGGATGCTCCAGGCCCAGCAGGAAAGGGGTTAACCTGCACACCCTATGACATCCAGGAGCACTGGGCCCTCCAGAGGGCCACACTGCTGAGGCCCCAAAGGGCCAGGATCATAGTGAGACTCAGTCAACAGCTACAGCGGAAAGTCAGGACGTGGTTCTCCAGGACTCTAATAAGATGAGAAGTGTCTGTGCTTTGGCAATGGCCCATATGACATCACAGAATAATTGTTTCAAAATCACAAAGGCTGCTGAAATGACTGGGCCTAGACCTGATGGGAACTGAGTACAGCTTGGCCAAAGACAAAGGAGACTGGCAGTGGGAGAGGTATCTTCCCAGAGACCCTGAAAGGACAGAGTGGCCAGGAAGAGCAGAGGGACACTGCGCTCAGAATGACAAACCAGCCACAGAGGAGCTAGGACTGTTGAGAGGGGACAGAGAGGTGGCTTCAGGGTAGGAATTCTGGAACAGCACAGTGCAGAGATCAGGAGCACTAACCAGCCATGTAGCCAGAACAAGCTGCTTCACTCAGTTTCTCATCTGTAAAATGGGGGTGGTCACAACCGAACACATCACCGTGAAGGCCAGGCATTGGGGGAGGGGGGTACTCACTGTGCGTGTGTCCAGGTGGCAGGGACAGACCAACAGCACATTACAAGGAGGCAGAGGTTGGCCAGGTGAGGGAGGCACTTCCTGCAGGGCTGCTTTGGAATCATTGGGTAGGCAGTGAGATACCCATCACCGAGAGCATCCAAACCAAGTACAGATCAAATAAACACCAGAAAAATTTTCCACTCCATGTCTCTTTCTATCCTCTAAAACTGTGGGACACCCACATGATACCCCAAGTCCAGCTTTTGCCACTCTTTGACTTTCAGCCAAGTTCTACAGTGGTTGTTATTAAAACAGCTGAGCTGGGTTACGGGCTGGCAACATGCAACCCCTTGGGGGGACTTCGTGGCAGAACATGAGACTCAGCCAGGCCTATAGCAGGGTTTTTTTTTCACCCAAGTCCTGGCTTGTGTTATGACCTCCTCTCCTGCCCTGAGAAGCACAGCAATGCTGCCAGGCTGGGGAAGGGACCTTAAGAGTGTGGCTTGTGAATCTGTACCCTGCACCCTCCCTTTACAACTTTCCAGGATGGACAGCTCTGGAGGCAGAGGCACCCAGCACCCAGCCTCTAGGGGAATAAACTCAGATTCATTGTGCCTCGGTTGCCTCCTTGGGCAGCTTCACAGATAGACTCTGAGGCTGAACCCAAACTCACAATCTTGCCCTAGAAAGCTGAGTGGGCTGCCCTTGGCTCACTGTCTGGTACCAACAAACTCTCGACCTGCCTTCCAAGACCCCAGCCAGGGCTGAGGTCCCCAAATTAGCAGCCACTCTTGCTGCATCCCCCGAACTCCATCCTGCTAGCATCCCACACCCACTGTCATTCTCTCAGGACAAATTGTCCTTGACAAGGACTGTCACATTCTCCTGGACCTGTGTCCTGCAGACACTCATCAGCCCATCTCCAAGGCCCTCTTGGGAGTCTGGCCTGACAGCTGGGCACAGGAAGAGCCCACCCTCACACCACACAAAGGAAAACCCATCCTGAGGTGGTGTTAAGCGGGTCCCAGGGGCCGACTGACCTAGGCTGGCTGGGATCGAAGCTCTTTACCTCCCCCAGCAGCTCCCTAGCTGGTTAACTATGGCAGCCTGTTGCCATGGGAACAGCAGAGCTGTTGTGCTATGACATCATGGCAGGGGTGAGGTCAGGGCCAGTGCCAAGCCAGCCAGACGGTGAGCACACAGGTCAGAGGACCAGCCACAGAGATCTGGTTCTAACTGCCGGAGGCTGAGCAAGGGCGTTCTGAAGATGCCCATTCTAAGTCCTGTCGGGGGGAGGGGTGTGCTGCACAATATGGAAATCCTCACAGCCGCCAGGTAGAGGATGCCTTCCCTTCCTCCAGCCTGGTGGCAGCATGACCTCCTCTGCTCCCCTGAGAAGCACTGCAATGCTGCCAGGCTGGGGAAGGGACATTAAGAGGTACATATCAAGGTCAGAGCTCCTGACACTGGATCCCACCCTGTCCATCTAATCTAGTTTTGATCACTCTTCTTAGCCCTTGAAGTGAGTAATTTCTTGTCAGCCTGACTGGGGTACAGGGTGCCCAGAGAGCTAATCAACACAATTCCTGGGTGTGCCTAGGCGTGTGTCTCTGGAACAGATGCGTATTCAAATCTAGACCACCTGACGTACATCCCTCCCCCAGTATGGACAGCTTTCACCTAACTCTTTGAGACCCCAGACAAAGGCAGAAGAAAGGAACCTTCTCCCTGCTGAAGCTGGAGTGTCCATCTACTGTTCCCAGACATCACAGCTTCCGGTTCTAGGAACACTGGATGCAGACGGAGTCACACCAGCAGCTCCCCCCAGCCTCAGCCTGCAGACAGCAGACTGTGGGACTTGTCAATCTCCACAAGCGAGTGAGCCAATTTCCATACTAAATCCCATCTTGTACGTCTCCTGCTATATCCTACCGGTTCTGTTCTCCTAAGAACCCTGGTGAATACAGCCCTAGAGACAGACCTGGATCTATTTCTCCCTCTCAGAAAATAATACTCTTGCCAAAAGGAAGTCTGCTTCCTCTTAGATATCTGAATTTTACATTTCAACTAAAAATCAACACCATTTGTTACCCACAGAGCACACACACTGTGATCTACTTTGTTACTGCCTGCTGCTGATACCTAACATTTCCCTAAGCTAAGGGAGCTGGGAATAAATAACTGTTACCCAATGCTTATAGGTGTCCTTAAGTGTTTACCTCCGAAACATTCTTAGATACAGGGGTCCCCAATCAAAAGGAAAACTGGTTTCTATGCCCTTTACCGCTACTGCCGAAACACCCAGCTGAGCCTTATAACTGCTCGCCTTAGAAGAGAATGCATGGGCCCCTCCAGCCTCTCCAGGGACAAGCAGCCTCTGGCCAAGGGAACAGAGCACAGGTTTGAAGCTCTGAAGCCCGACCCTGTTCCACAGCCTCGAGCCAGCATCAGTCTCCTTGGATTCCTGGCACTGCCACTGCACTGGTGACCTTGGGCTTCACGGGCCTCCCCCATCCGAACGGGAGAGGGCTCCGGCATCTCTCTTTCATAGTCCTTGACAAAGTAAGGACGGAGATGTGAAGGGCCTTTGATAACCACACATTTATCTGCATGCCTGGCTGTCTTTATTTCTGCCTTCAAGAACTGTCACATAGAACACAAGGCAACCTCCCACTTATCCCTTTGTCCTTGTTAGAGCCCACAGGGCTGCGGGGACAAGACTCAGAGCTGAGAGTCAAGACCTGATGCTCATCCTAGCTCCGTGCTAGGCACTTGGCTTCCACCCGGCAAGGGCTAGGCTGGTCTTCTGCTTCCAGCAACCTCTAAGCGCTGAAGACTCACTGCTAAGCAGGCTACAGAGAAAAACACACTCACGCCTAGAAAATAGGAAGCCAGGACGGGGCTGTGTGTGAGCAAGCCCACTAAGCCTTTGCCCTCCAAAAGCAAGGAGCCCGGGTGCTCCAAAAGCCCTCCAGCCAGTGCCAACACTGTCCTTCTGCGCACAATAACCCCCGAAGGACCCCACCTTTCACCCTTCTTCCTGATGGGGCACTAGGCACCTCATCGTTGATCCCACCAACCTGCACCCCACTGCCCATGGCCTCACTACACCTGCAGGATGGGATGAATGACAAGGACTGCCTGGCACTGGGGGGCCCTGCTCTCCTCCCTAAGGGTCTCTGTGGGGCCTCTGGAGATAGAGGAAGGTCTCATTGTTTCTTCAAGGCTCCAGGGGTGGTCCTGGCTTTCTTCTCCCATCCCCCACCATGTTAAGGGACCTTGGCAAGGTCATGAGACCTGAGCAGGGCCACAAGGCCATCTGGGCAGGGTGCTGCATACGGCATGGTGGCTATTTAGGGACCTCCTTGGAGTTCCTGAGCTGAACCCCATCAACCTTTCTGAGCTCTAAATCTTTGGAGGGAAAGGGGGCTGCGGACCCAGCCTGGGGGCAAACAGCATTCAGGCTGGGCTCAGGGGAAACAGAACATCTGTAGTGGGCAGAGGGCGGTGCATTTCCTCCCCGGCCCGTGTGCTTCTCCCTAAAGAGCTTCTGGACGGAGGCAACAGGTTCAGCATCTGAAGGTCACCAAAACAGTGGGGAACCTGGAGTACTTTCACACTCGGGCTCATTTATCAAAAATCTGCTCTGTGGCACAGCTCTTGAGAAATGCAACCCTCCTTTTGTAGAAAAGGAAACTGAGGCTCAGAGGCACAGAGTGGGGGCTCAGAACCAGTCTCACCTAGGTCATTTCTCCCAATAATTATCCCTTTGTCTCTTTCCCCTAAAATGCCCCGTTTCCTTAGTTAAAAACCAGCTGTTGGAGAGGGTCCTGGCCAGAGTCTGTCACCAGAGAGGCCTAGCAAAGCAGGCCCCCACCCTTACTTTGCTGAGTAGGTGCCAGGAAAGGCCATCCAGGCTCCTCAGACTACAGATCACAGACAGCAAATAAAGCCTCAACTCAAGCCAGATGTTATCCTGGAAGCTATGTCCCTGAGGCCTTGGGAGCGCTTTCCATGCGGATCATTTTGAGACAGAAAGCCAGGTCTTTGCCTGGAAATCCACATTCACTCAGGCTCAGGAGCCCAGGACAGATGGGTGAGTCCCTGGCACCTTCAGGGTCAGCTTGGACAGTGAAACCTCCATCTCATTTCTTCTTATTAACCTGCTTCCTTCTACAGAGTAGAGGGCAGGTAGCCAGGTGACAACTACCCCAGTCACACCCAGCCAGCTTCTGTGACACAGGTCACAGAGCTCAGGAAGTGTTTTTGTGAAAGGTTAGCTAGTTAACGATTTTGGCTGTGAGGGTGACGCAACCACTCTGACACTTTCCTCCCATTGCTGTGTTGCAAAAGCAGCCAGGCAAGATGTGCTTCCAGCGGGGGTGGCTGCCTTCCAACCAGACTTTATTTACTACAACAGGTGACCGCCCTGCTGCGGGTGTGGTCTGCCAATCTCTGAAAGAGGCTAGCGAAGTTTCAGGCCATTGATGGCCTTTTTGGAACCTAGGCACACGTAGCTGGTTAGGCACACAGCACAAAGTGCCCAGCCCAGCCCCTGCAGCACCCCTGGGAGAACACATGGCGGAGTTCACCCAAGGAAGCACATGTGACAAACCCACGTCCTTCGTGGGTGCTGCAAGTCGGACCCTGGTGATGGCCACATGGATTTTAGTCTGTGACAGAGTAAAAACCACATTGTGTGAATTACATCTCAATAAAGCTGACAAAAGACAGTCTAGGATAGAGAAATAAAAATCCTCTCTAGAGTGACAATGGTCATCCAAGGGTGATTTATCTGTGCCTTCAGCACCCAAGGGAAAGTCAGTTCAGCCCCTACCCTAGAGTGAGTGTGTGTGTGTGCCCTTCCTAGGTCAACCCCTCACCCTCTCTCTTAAAACCCCTCCTCCAATCTCTATTTGCCTCTCAAATGCACTCTTTTTGGTACAACACTTGAACCCAGGGCCTTGTACACGTGAGGCGAGCACTCTATCACTGAGCTACATTTAACTTTATTTCTCATCAATTTTACTGTTTTTCTGGCCTTGAACTTGTCATCCTCCTGTCTCAGCCTCTGGAGCGGCTGGAATTTTAGGTGTGCACCACCATGCCTACCCCCAAATCCCTTTTGCTGGGAGTGTGTGCTGAGAACTAAACTGGAGACCTTGCACTGAGCCATAGCCACAGCCTTCCAAATGCCTTTCACCTAAAATACTTACACAGCTCATTCATGTAATCAAAGGAAAGTGAGGAAATAGGGTTAAGTAAAAAAAAAATTTTTTTAAATGACCCTTGATTTTACACACAGTCCAGATTTTTCAATTTTTTCCAGTGGTGGGCATTATTACTTCCTAGCCCTTTCTTATAATTTTTTAAAAGTTTGAGATAGGGTCTCGCTAACTTGTTCAGGCTGGGCTCAAACTTTCTATCCTCCTGCCTCAGCCTCCCACAGTGCTGGAATTACAGGCATGCACCACCAATGCCTGGCAGACAGCCTAGAATTTTGATGGATATCCTTCTGGACTGTTTTTCTACGTGTGCATTTAAATAAGTGTATGCTTTTTTTTTTTTTAAGTCTGGAATTTTGAGACAGTAAAACTATGTGAAGAAATACCAGGAAACTGTCCACATAAAACTGACCAGATCAGTGGCTCCCCGTAAGTGGACACGGCAGGGCTGGGACCAGCTATTTCCTGAGATTTTAGGGTAACGGCCTCTTGCTCTAGGTGTTGGGTAGCTACTTGTGACACAGTGGACATTTGGGCACTGTGCCTTTCTAAAAATGCACGCTACAAGTTTGGCAAAGTTTATAATGAGATCCATACACCCTGGACATGTTCACAGGTCACGCACAGGAACCTGCAGCATTATTGTACGTGACTGGCTGCATTTTTTTGTAAGGACAGAACTTAATTTGGTCACCTCTAATGGACTGGTAGGCAAACCTCATGTACAAGGCTAGCACTCTGCAGTTTTCCCCTCTGTTGTCATTGCCACCATTGCCATGGCCTCCATAGCAGAAAGACAAGAATTTGGCCAAGTACTCTCGATACCTAGATACTCATTCAAAGTTCTATTTAAGTGCAACTCTCTGCGTGTCTTCTTTCGGTATCAAACACGTCTTGGGCAGCCCTGGGTGCAGACCACACAGCTCTGTGCAAACACCAGCAGACACAAGTACCTGGTGAGGTTTTAAAATTCCAGTGCCCACACCCAGGTCCAGGGGCTCTGAATGTAGGTGCCCACCTTCTTCCAAAACCCCTGGAGGTGCTCACTGTCATTCCAATGCCTGTGTGCCCTCAGTGGCTTACTTGGAGCCCTGGGGATGGAAGGCAGACTCTGTGTGGCCAGCTAGCTCAGGGTTCATTGCCAGCGGGCCCGGGCTCTGGTCCCCAGTCCTCCCTTGCCTGTACCTAGGCAGTCAGGCCTTCTGCTGAGGACCATAGGATGCACTCTGGAGATTCCTGAGCCTGTCTCTAGCTTAGATTCCTCAGCTCTGCTCTTCCCTCTTGAGGACCATCCTGGCCACAGGACCACTTGCCCCATGGTTTGTGAGTTTGTACTCGTGTATGAATACACTCATTGAGTGGGTGACAGAGACTCCTTCTTCCCTCTGTTTTCTCCTATGTTTTTTTTTCTTTCTCCTGCTGTTTTCCCCATCCATCCAGTCTTCTGGAAGGGACCCTGAAAGCACATTTCTTGATTGTTTTCAAACCCAAGACCAGTTCCTCCCCCAGGCCCGGCATCAGTGGTCCCTGCAAAGACCAGGCTGGCTGCACACACCACCTCCTAAACCAAGGTGTCCCCTATCTCCCGGCAAGCACATTTCATGCTATAGGCTCACTTTTGAATTTCACTTATTGAAGAGTTTACCTGGTGTTGACCACTTGCCTGAAGCACACTGAGTGTAACTTCCTTTACACTCCACGCTGGATGGAGGACAGCAAGGGTCCGCACATGTCCGCTCCCTGATGCACGCTTTTAAACCATCTCTAAGCACCCCACACTAACATTTGGTTTTCCCTTCCCCAGGTCAGGGATAGCCCTGCCCACCTCTGCCTTTTGTTCCCTGGGGCAGAGCCAACTACTCCATAACTGCTCCTTAAAGCAGATATGAACATCAGGATGCACAAACTCCGTGACCCCGAACAAGAAGTCACCTGCAGGAGTTGCCAACGGCATCAGGAAAGGGCGGCCCCCCCTTCAGAAGTCCTGGCTCCTTTCTCCAGGGTGATGCTGGCATGCTTTTCACACATGCCGGAGCAGACAAAGCTGTGACTAAGTGTGCTGACTGGTCCTTATCACTGGCACACAGGGCCCACCAGGCCCCAAGGGACTGAGGGACATTGTAGGGCTTGGTCCATGGGACCTAGCAGATGGCTTGCTAGGACTTGACTGTGGGCACATTTCCATCTGGGGTGGACCCCACCAGTAGGTTGGCAGGGAATGGTTTCTAGAGATGGGAACAGCCATTGGGTTAGCACAGTACAGGAGCAATGTGGCCCTGGGCACTGCCAAGCAGGCCACAGAAGAGACTTTATTCTCTGGGTCCAGGAGCTCCTGGATTTATCCGCGATTCCAAAAACCAGTCAAAGCAGCCTGGATCTGCTAAGTAGCTCAGCTGGCTTAGTAACTCAGGCTCCACCCATGGTACTGCCTGAATGGCGAGCCTGGAGCTGGTTTCCAGCCAGATGACTGTCACTGCACAGGCTTGCGGTAGGTGGCAAAGGATTCCATTAGGTAAGAGGGAGTTGGGCCAGCAGCCCGTCTGAGCAGTGCTGTTACCAAGATGTGTAACACCTCTTGCTTGCCTTGACCTTCCTGGAAAGGACAAGGATCCAGGATCTTCCAAGAGCACGCCAGGGCAGGCTTCTCACTCTCCATCCTACAGATCACAATCTCACAGTGAATTCTCTTTGTTGATCATAGTTCCAAGCCCACCACTGCTAAGGGACACCTCCCAGAAAGCCTTTCATGGGCAAAGAAATATGTTTCTTAGACCAAGAGCTTCCTGCAGACACTAAGCCAGTCAGCAATGCTGTACCCAGCCACAAGGTACGTGGAGCCAGCACACCACAGCAAAAGCCGGCCTCTTCCACACCCCTGCTCCTGCTTCAGTCCTGGCTACGGAGTCTCTCAGGGGATCTCAAAACTACAAAAGCCAAGATCTGAGCCCACTGTGTAACTTCTTGGGGACCCAGGCCAGAGTAATCTTTGTAGATGCTCCTCCCTCCCTGCAAGCAATTCTGTTCTCAGGAGAAGGGGGACCTGCACCAAATGAGACACTCACCTGCACCTCTACAAGCAGAAGAGAGCATTGGTGAAAAAGCGGCCACTGCAGTCACAGGACATAGTGGGGGGCTTTATCACAGCTCCTTACACTGGGACATCGAAGCATAAGAGGGGCGACAGGGAACAAGGCAGGGGAGCCTCGGTGTGCTGGACTCAATAGTGCCCCTCCCCCCAATTCATGTCCAGCCAGACCCTGTAAATATAACCTAACCTTATTTGGAAACAGGGTCTTTACTGATGAAATCAAGTCGAGATGAGATCATACTGGATGGAGGGGGTGGCCCAATGGCCAGTGTCCTTAAAAGAAAGAGGTTTGGACCAGACACATACACAATGTAGAGACCCATGTGTAGATGGGTGCAGAATAGGAAGGGTCGCATCTGTACCCCAAGGAACACCAAGGAGAGACAGCAGCCTGGAACAGATTCTCCCTCAGTGCCTCCAGAAGGAGCCAGCCCTGCTGACATCTGGATTTCACTCTGCTGGCCTCCCGAACTGCAAGACAATAAACTCCCCTCACTTTGAGCCATCTGGTTATGGTCACAGCAGCCACAGGAGAGAGGATAAGTAGACTTCACAGGCAGTGCTGGCCTGAGAGTGGGCACCCGCGCTGGGACAGGGTTAAAAGTTTTGGCTTTGTGCCGATTTTGATGCAATGACTTGAACACCAGTGTCAGGAAATCTAGGCAGAGGTCAGTAATGTGCAAGGCGACAGGAAGGCTGGTGGCATCTGCGAGAGCCCCTCGACCCACAGCGAGCCCCACTCCAAACCACAGCAGAAGCAGCTCCCCGCTCAGCAGCTGTCTTAGCTACAGCTGGGCAAGGACCAAAGTAGCTGCTGGTAATTCTCCCAACACAGCTGGAAGGGGAAAGGGGGTGTCAGGCCCAGCTCCTTCCTGCTGGACTCCTAAGAACCCCAGTTTCCTTCTGGGGCTCCATGACTTGCTGATCAGAAGTACAGCCTCTCTTGGTGCTGGAGTTCCTAGAGGCCAGTACTCTCAGAGTATACCCCTTCAAGAAGGCTGCTCACAGCTCCCTCAAGGGGAGGAGCCTCTTCTTTACTCCCCAGATTTTGCTGAACATCAAAGCTAAATTGGAGAAAAGACCTCATTTTCCCCAAATCAGGTATTGTGGTATCTACCCTGTAATCCCGCACCACACCCAAAGCCCAGGTGGCCTGAGCCACGTGATTCCGGGTGAGACCAACTGAAGGCTCCCCAAGCTGGGCAAGTGGTCCTCATGGCTAATGGTGATGGGGCCAGGAGCCTTGGGAGTGGGGTCACTGATATCAGCAGGAGGACACTGGAGCCCCAGATTCAGTTCTGGCAGATGAGGTACACCCACCCAGTCTTGCCGCACTGGGCAAAGGATACTCAGCTGCGACAACTTACCGCACTGGGCAAAGGATACTCAGCTGCGACAACTTACAGGCAAACGTTACTGGGAAGGCAGAGGGGCCGTGGAGGCCCACCTGCAGTCCACCTGAACGTGCCTGCCACTACCAAGACTGGAGAGATCTGCAGTATCAGCCCTAGGTGGAACCCACATTTCTGCCATCCTCCCACTCTGGGACCACAACCTTGATAACTGAGCTCCTCCTTGGTAGATATTGGGGATCAAGAATCCTAAGAGTCAGAGCTAAGTAGCCAACGACCCCACTCACCCCCTTCAGTCGCCAAAGCTCCGGTTTTGGGAGGACATCCTGGGAAAAGTCACAGGCAGCAAAACACTCAGGGTGCTGGTCCTGAAAGGCCCAGTTTATGGGGCCTCGTGGGCAGGACACTCAGTGAAGAGGCCGCCTGCCTCTATAGGCCTCTCATGGTTCCTCTTAGCCCTGAGTACGGGGACTTCTAGCCCTTCTAACATGCTTAATACATCAGCTCCCAACTGGGACCCGCAGAAGAAGCACCCTCCTCCAGAAGCCGGAGAATCCCTGCTCCCACCTCACCTGTGAGAGTTTCTCCGAGGGTCCCCAGTCTCCAGCCACCCCGCCCTAACCGGGTCCCCCTCTGCCCTCCCCCCAGCGCTGGCATCCCAGGGCGGCCTCCTGCCAAAACCCAAGCCGTTCCCTGGCTCCCTGTGCAAGGGCTGGAGCTGCTGCGGAATTTCGGTGGGATTTTGAGGTCGCGAAGCATCTCACCGAAGAGAGGGAAAGAAAGGGAGAGCAGGAGGGGGGAAAGAAAGTACGCTTCGGGCGTCTACTTGCGGGATTCCGGGGGAACCCGGCGGAGCGGGTGCCTGGCCCTGGGCGGCGGGCGGGGCGCCGCGGAGCCTGCGGGGGTCCCAGACAGCGCTCGGGGCGCTGGGCCGCGCGGGCGGGCCCGGGGTCGTGCCGCTTACCTACGTCCGCATTGCAAAACGCCTGTTGCGGGTGCACCGGGGAGCAGCTGCAGGCGTCGGCTCCGCGCGGCAGGGTCCCCAGGAGCAGCAGGCCGAGCGCCAGCCGCAGGCTGCGGGCCGTGGCGCCCATGGCGGGCCGGGGGTCGGCGGGGGCCGGCACGCCCCTCCTCACCTGCCCCGCGAGCCGGCGCAAACTTTCTCCCCCGGGGCTTTCGGAGGCGGCTAGGGCACCGCGCTGGGGGCAGCTTCTGGGCGGCAGCGGCGGGGCGAAGAAAGCGGGGTGGGGGCGGCGAGCGAGCGGCTCCCCGCAGGCCTTCTATGGATGTTTGCTGCGCGCCCGGCCGAGCCGGCGTTTTATTGCGCTCCGAGGATCCTCTGCTCCTCCTCCCGGTGGCTGGCAGCCAGTGCAGGCCGGGCGCTCCCAGCACCCCTCCTCCCGCGCCCGCCCCACCGGCCCTCCCCAGAACCAGGGCTTTTGTTGTGCCCAGCCCGGCCTGGCGCGGGCTTCCAGAGTTACTAGTGCGCGGTTCAAGGCCGGCGCTCTGCGCACCTGGCTCCTACCGTGCGGGGCCCCCAAATGCCCCTACACACAGTGCCTGCGACTAGAGGCCAGTCCCCAAGGGCACCAGGCTGCCCACCGCCCTTTTCTTTCATCCTGAGTCCACACTGTCTGATCTGTTTCCACTAGGGTGGATTCCAGACACAAACCGCACAATGGGCTGTGCCCTTTGGCGCAGGAGCCATTCCCCACTGCCCTCCCTTGGGGGTTGGAGGCCCCCCGAAACCTTTTCGCAGTAGAGGCCTTAGAATTTTAAGAGTGGTCCACCAACTGGTGGAGGGAGTGCAGGGTGTGGTTGGTACAAACAAGACAGGAGTTTTTATAGACTAGCCATATTTTGGACTAGCCAAATAGGAGTTCCAGGTCAGGAGCCAGTAGGATTGTGCAAGGGGGTTTGTGCAGAGCGTGCACAGATGTGGGTACCAAGGAACTTTTCCTTAAACGGTTCTCTGTCCCAGGACAGACCAAGGAACTTACAGGTGTGGTCAGGGCAAGAACGTGGTGATTGGTGCGTGGTCCCTATGTCTGGGTGGTGAACCTATGTCCCTCTGGATATTGGCAGTTCCACTAGAGAGATGAGAGCCCCGGAAAAGAATTCAATTAAAAATAATTGCCCACCAATGGACTGTGCTGACCTGAGCTGGGAAATACTGAAATAATTGAGGAACGGTTTCTTTCTGCCTGTGCATGCTTTTGAAGCAGACAAGTTGGAGAAAAGTTACACAGGCAGGATAGCTATTTTTAACACCTTGACAAATCCAGAGACACTTTTTGGCTTTTGTTAACCTCAAATTGAATTGTGTCCTTGGCGGGATGATGTTCAATGCTAACTTTTGGAAAGTGCAGTTGATTCAGGGAGTTACACGTTGCCTGCCTGTGGCCTTTCATTTCTCTTTCTTTCTTTTTTATGACAAGGGGAAAACAATGCTGCTGAATTTCATAGCACCTGGGCTCAACTCTTGGGTGTATGCTCTTGGGCTTTTAGGCAAAACATGCACACCAGTGAACAAATATGTGTATTAATATGGCAAAGCCTGGAGGTAGGACTGATGGTGTCACAGAAAGGCACAGGGCAAATGGGGGTACATGGGGGAGGACTGGTCTGGGCTGCCGAGGAGGAATGGCTTCTCCCGGAGAGGCTGGTTTCTCCAGCACACTGCATTATGGATTTGCCTTCTCTGGGTCATCCGCACCAGCACACGGACAAGCTGGACTTCCAGCCCCAATACAAATCTTTTCTTGACCCTGATTCTGCTACCAGAGAATAAGTACCCCTTTCCTAGGCTCTCCTGAAGTTGTCAGTAGAGGTTTCCAGGTCTTGGTCTCTTCTTCTCCTACCTTCTCCCTCTTTGTCCCCCCCTTTCCTCTTCCCTCCATTAACAAATATGTATTTGAATGCAGCCTGGATGCCATCCTGAGAACGAACACTGGCGTCTGGAGGTCAGGTGAAATTCCTATGATGGGACACAAAAGACTTGAAGGCCCCAAGACCAGACAGGCTGTGCTGGCCATGGTGGAGATCAGAGATACAACCAAGGAGAGAAAAGGAGGATGAAGCAGCAGGTGGATCAGAAAGCACGGAGGAAATGGGTGTGTAGCAGCAGAGCATGTGTGTCTTCTCCTGCGTGTGTGTTTGTGAGGTCAGCAGACAGCAGCAGGAAGGAGGGCCAGAGACAATGCCTTGTGCCCCTCTGCTGACCTTCCCAGGCTCCCTAACCAAACACAGGAGATTTGAAAAGCCTTCTCATGGATAGCTGTGAGTGGTGACCTGAGACCCCTGGCCTGCTCTCACACTGCCACCACCCCTGCTGCAGTTTAGGACCCTCCTGGCCCAGCTCTGGAAACTGCAGTCCCAGACTAGGAATCCATTGGAGACAGGGAATAGGGGAGGACCAGCTTGCTGCCTCTGCTCTGGGCCAGGAGGGCTCCATGTGGCATGACTGGGGGAAGGTCGGCCCAGGTCAGGACACCCCACACCTGGCACAGAAGGATGCAGTAGGAAGGTCCTGGGCCAGCTGCCCCCCATCACCTTTGCTCCTTAACCACCCTCCTCTGTCTCTCCTCTTCATATTGGGTGGGGAAGTGAGGAAGCCAGGTCCACAGCCTGGCCCCGCCACAGCCTTTGGGATGTAGCTTGTCTCTTCCCCAGAGCAGTGGCTCTCGTGGACTCGCAGGGCAGGCAGGAGGGGCAGTGCTGGCCAGGCCAGCACCAGGAAGGCCCTCATGTCACTGACCTTGCTCCTCACTCCTCCCCAGGCTTTCCTAGCATGGAACCCAGCAGAGCTATCCATCCCGCCCTCCCTCCCTTCCACGGCTGAGCACACCCAGCAGACACGTCCCTGGGTGGACCAGATAAACAGCGTAGAGGGCCAAGAGGAACAGCCAAGGCCTCCTCCTTGGCACTGACAGGGTGCTGTCCATGCCTCTCCCGTCGTGCCTTGGTAGAGCCCTCAAGGCAGGAGGAGAAGCTGCATTTCTCAGGGAAATGCCTTCTGGGTCTGGGCCAGATCCATCTCCTCCGAGCTGCAGTCTTCTTCCCGGCGAGACAGCTTGAGAGGAGCAGAAGCCCCCACGCTCTTTCTGGCTGGTTCCCCGAAGCCAGATGCTCTCATCAGTCACAGGCATCAAAGCTGGCTCCACACACCCAGGAAGTGGACCCCGAGCCAGCGGCCCAGAGCTCTGGAGTCGAAGGGGTGTTTTGGGCAGGTCAGGGGACAGTAGAGGGAGGCGGGGATGTGTCCTTAGGTCTGATTATCTTTGGGGAGACTCCCATCAGCACCATGGTAAGCCTCTCTGTCCAAATGGGCATCTGATTATTGGCCACAGTAGGTGGGTGGCATCTGTCCCCACTGTCCTCTGCAGGGATGTTTATTCAGGACACCCTTGGGATGACAAGCCGATGTATCATCAGTGACTGGGACTGACCGTGGCTATGTGAGCATCTCCATGGCCTGTGGGGGACCTGCAGGAGGATGTCTGACAGGAATTTCATGACGTAAGCCTTTCAGTCAGGGCTGGGCTTCTCAATCTTGGTGCACTGACCCTGGGCCAGGTCACTGGGGTGGGGCAGCCTGGGCGTTGTAGAATTTAAAATTCCAAGCTGCCTTCCTGACCTGGACCTTCCACATGCCAGTGGCAACTTCTCTAAGTTACAACAACCAAATATGTGCCCAGTGCTTATAAATCTCTCTGATGGGGCAGCACTAAAATTTAAAGAAATGGGTAAAAACTCTTCGGTTCTGAGCAGAGCAGCAACAGAAACACGAACACCAAGGCTCTGTTGTGTAGTGCACAGGTGTCCAGGAGGAAGCACTGTCAGGGACTTGAGCCCTGGGAGGGATGCTGGGGGATGCAGGGAAGGCCGGGAATACGATGGATTGTTCTAGAATGTCCACAATAAGACGGCTTGTCTTAGGTTTTGTGTGACTCTCGGTGGGCACCTGGAGAGATGCATAGGAATATGTCACCAAATTAGCAGGGAATACCTGGGCCCTGGGCGCTGAGGGAAGGGTGCTGACCCTGCCTCAGGCAGGCAGCCTCTAGGATAAGGGCAGCTATGAGCCAATGACATAGGAGAAAGATAACTTCTGACCTGTTTGATGACACGTATGCTGAGCTTGTGTTCCCCAGATATCGAACGATGAATTCCAGGGGACAAAGCAGGTTAGGAGTAGGAAAGGTTTATTTAAAGAAAGCTCCTGAGAGATAGGAGGGGTCTCAAAAGGGGTTGCCACTAAGGCTTTTCGTTAGGGGTAATTTGTACAGCAAATTTTCAGCGTGGGTGCAAGGTGGGTCGGGTTACAATCAACCTACAGGGCTGTCAGTGCTGCTTAGTTAATATTGATCTGGTAGGGAATCCAGTCACGTAGCAAGGGTAGATGCAGAGAGTTCTTGGAAAGGCCGGGGGTGGGTGGGGACCTGGCCCAAGTGTTCTGATCAGCCACCTATGTGTCTGATGCCTATGCCGGCCCTCTGGAGACAGTACAATCCTGAGTTCTTGTTTATCTCCAGGCCTTACTGTTGCTTTTCCTTTCTGAGGCCTGGTTCTCTTCACATGTGCCTCCAGCCGCAGTTCTGATATCTCTATTTCTGTGTGTGTGCTGGTTTCCTTGAGGGCCCAGTCCCTCTCTGGCTGTGTATTAATTTCTGTGTAACTTAGCTGCCTCTAATACCAGGCTGCCCACCTCAGGGGTTTGAGCTTCAGCTGTTGTTCACCCCTGCAATGAGTGTGACCTTCGTAGTTCTTAGCAGCAGCCCTGATGCCACCCTCCAGGGGTTCTGGGGTGGGAGGTATCCCAGGGTGGAGCGCACAGATACCTCCTCCAGGGATGTAGCCCTCATGCCACCAAGCTTCAGCTTTGCCTGTGGGGACCTTTTCTACTAGGGCTCTATGGAGGGCCAGCCCCCTCCTTGGGGCTACTGCCTCCTCTCTGAAGCAGAAGTTCTCCCTCCTGTGAGGTGGCCCAAGCAGAGCCCTGCTCCTCCTCCTAGGAGTGAAGGGGTTCTCAGGGAGCTCCTGGACTGTGACTGTGGGAGACCGTGCAGGGCTGTGACGTCGCCTGGGCATGACTGACCAAGAATGAGACACCTCAGAGGGCAAAGTAGGCCACAGCTGAGGCCCCTGGAGACTTTCTGGATAGTTTTCCTTATTACCATCGTCTGTTGCTCTGAGGGGTCCTTGAGCCCCTCCCAAGGTCCTGCTCAGGTTTCCTCCATCGTCCACTCAGCTCCTTGCTTGTTCTGATTAAATACAG